CTCCCCCGCAGCCCCTCTGCGCTTTCCGCCGTTTCTGCCGAGCTCCACACCCCCCGCATCCTGCAGGAAGCCCACTCTTGTTCCCAGAGGACCTACTTGAGGCATCTGAGGTGACATGGGGGGGTGGGGAGGGACTTGCTTCTGGGACTGACATCGTCCCAGCCCAGAAGGCAGGTGCGGGGGGGAGGGGCGGTGGAAATGACTTCAGAGGGGGCAGCTGCGGGTGGGGGTGGGTACTCACAGCTCAGATGGCCTCAGCCGGCCCCTCCGAGGCTCCACCCCACGGGGCAGGGGCCCCCCCACGCAGATTGCTTCCTGCCCCAGTCCCCAGCCTCTTGGACCAATCCGCAGTCCCTGCCTTGGAGGCACCGAAGTTCTCCACTTGCCTGTTCCTGTCCAGGGAGGGCCACCTCCAGGAGATGCCCCTGAAGCCCTCCCCGGTCACGGTCACGGTCACGGGAAGAGGCTGCCCCGGGAAGCAGCTCACTGTGTCCGTTACCTCATGCGATTCCCGCGGTAACACAGTAAGCCCGGGAGGTTGGAATGACGGCCTATGTCACGGAGGAGTCCCAGAGGCTGCTTGTCCCAGTGCAGGAGCTGCGTGGCTTGTTTCCGCAGGGAGGGGGGCTGCCCGGGGCTGCTGATTCCTGCGGAGCGTGACTGGAGGGGAAGGGGGCCGAGTGTGAGTGCTTCCGCGCCCTTTCCTGTTTGTCCACTCGCTGGTCATTATTCTCCTTCCTTCCTTCCGCAGGATGCCAGAGGCTCTGGATGGGCCCCAGGGGTCCCAGAGCCAGTCGGCGTGGACCGAGCTGTGATGGTGACAGCATGTGTGCGCACGTCCGGGCGTGTAGGTGTGTTCGGGGGAGTGTGCCAGACCCCTTGTGTTCACCAGAATACAGGTGCCATACGGGCAGGGACCTGCTTTTCTTCGCTGCTGTGTTCTCAGGAGCCTAGAACGGTGCCTGGCACAGAGGAGGTGCCCATTTAAGCATTCATGGAATGAATGAAGGGAAGAACAAATGAATGAACAAACAGTGAGCAACTGAAGCTTAGCCCACAGGTTCCAGAAACTCCGGAGAGCAGCCAGATGGCTGCCCGGAAGCAGTGTGGCAAGTCGGGTCTCTGTCCCTCTGCAGGGAGAAGGAAGTGGCGGCAGCCCTGGCCTGGGAGAGGCCCTGGGGGCTGGACACTCCAGTGTGTGACATCAGTCGCCTTCAGCACGCGGCTCCTCAGTCTGGGAAACTTGCTCACTTGGAAGACCCCAGGGAGGGGGCTGGAGGAGGCTCTGCTAGGAAACAGGCAGGATGGGGGTCTGCCAGGGCAGCTCTGGAACATTCCAGGCTGGCAGGCATTTGACCTTTCCTGCCTGCCCAACACTGGCCACAGCTTAGTCTGAGGAGAAGATCCGGGTTCCCTCACAGCTAGGAATGGACTGAGCCCTCAAGGGGTGGCAGGGCCTGCGTGTGCATGTGCATGTGTGTGTGCGTGTGCGTGTGCATGTGAGCTGACATTCAGGGGGACTTGCCTATGCAGCCATAGCAGTTATGAAAATATTGGAATATTTCTCTGCTCCCCACGCCACCCCCTAAGCTCCCCCGCACCTCCTGCCAATCCACACAGAAGGACCTTATTCCCGTTCTAATCTGGCTTCCATGCCCCTAATCAGTGTCTGTGCCAGACAGCCCCCTTCCTGGACACTGCCCTTGACCCCCCAAAGGACCCAGAGAGCAAGCTGGTTCCCCTCTATGCTTCCCCCTGGTCCCCGGGAGCCGTGGGTGGGCTCTACCCAGGGGCACCCTTGCACCCTCCTGCCCTCTGTCTCAGCAACCAGGCCATCATGGGGCCCCTGTGGCAGTCATCTGAGCTGCATGTCCCTTGGCCGGGACCTTCATGGCAGAGATGACAGCCTGCGGGTGCCCCCCACCCCCACAGAAGGCCTCACAGCCCCTCAGCTGGTCCAGCCGCCTATGGAGGGAGGCAAGAAGGCTGGAAGCCCCAGGTGGGCTTGGGATGGATGACTGGCTAGAGGGGCCAACTCGGGATTTGGAGAAGCCGGACTCTGTTCCCTCCCTACGGAATCTCAGAAGCCTGGGGGGGAAGGAGGGCAGAGGAAATTGGTTCCTCCCCAGGAGGTAGGAGTGAGGGGCCCAGCAGGCTCAGTGCTCAAAATGACCAGATGTCACAGAAGTTAGGCCCGCGGTCTGACAACACAGTCCAACCTGGGGGTGGGTCCCAGGAAGCCTGCGAGGCGGTGGAGGCAAGAGGATGTCTTAGAGTCAGATCTGTGCAGTCCCAGTGCTGGCTCGGGCACTTTCCAGCTGTGAGGCGTGGGGACAAGCCTCAGGAGGAAGCTGGCTGGGGGTTCAGCCCATCTTCTTAATAACTCCTGACATTTTCTCAGCCTCCTTTAGTTTGCACACACAGTTCTGAGCACCCCTGCTCTCTGGCCCAGGGTCACATAGGAAGACAGCGGTATAGCTAGATCCAAACCCAGGTCCCCAGACTCCCTGCCCTTCTGAAGAGCCAACCTGAGAAGCTCCCTGTACCCTTCCTGAGGGTGAAGTAGAGAGGGCCCGCATTAAGATGACAGGACCCTTAACAATAGGCCGGGTAGAATCTTCCACCTTCTCCTCCACTCTGCCCGCCCAAGAGGGAGGCAACCCAAGGCCACAGAGGGGATCTGGAGCTGACACCCCGCAGCTGGTCCCATTTAGGTTGGGGGTCAGCAGCTGGCCTGGGACAGTGGCTACCTCACGTCTCCCTTACTTCCTGCGGGCATCACGGAAGGGCAGGAAAGCCCCACCATCTGGTGACCTAAACTCTCCTGCCCCATCATGCCCTGTGCTTCTCACCCCCACCTCCTGCAGACCCTCACCCGCACCAGGATCCCCGCAGCCATCTCCTGTCACAGTCTGGGACAGACACTGGAAAGGTATCTGCTCAGCTGGGAACACCGTGAGATGCGCAAAGCCAAGGGGTACGGTTGCTTTTGCTCTGGTCCAGGGTTCTCAGGGAGCCAGGCACTTGCTGAGGCTTCTACCTCCTTCCCATCACCTGAGCCTCACACGACCCTGTCAACATCCTGGCGTTCAGATGAGGAAAGGCAGGTTCCAAGGGGTGAAGGGGTTTGCCCGGGGTCACGTGGCTAGGAAGCACCAAAGCCTCCATTTGAACCCAGGTCGGCTCTACCCACGGCCCAAGCCCTTCTCAGGGAAGCCCTCCCCAAGACCTGCTGATGTGGGACTGTCGTGTGGGCACTGAGGGACCTCCGAGCTGAGCCAGACTGTGTCCCCACCCCATGCAGCTCTGCATCCACCTGAACCCCCAAAGTCTCGACAGCCCACAGCCAGGGACCAAGCCTTGTCTCTTAACTTAGCCTTTCTCCCCCTAGAAGGCCATCATCGGGGCAAGGGTGGCACGTGGGTCCCTTCCATGGGCCAGAGGAGGCAGACAGTATGTGGGGCAGCTCCTGATTCCCTAGGCAGCCATGCCAGCTACACAACCAGCAGGCCAGGGGGTAGCTTCTGCCCCTCCTAGCAACAGAAGACGTGTTTTTCATCGTCCTCATCTGTCAGTTGGGGATCATAATGAACATGTGCCTCCTAGGATTATAGTGAGTCAGTCGGTTAACATACATCAGGGGGACTAGAACAGTGCAAATGATATTTAAGCCCCAATTACTATGTAAAATTGTCCCCCAGTCGCTTTGTATGCATTCGCTGGGTCTTTCTGGTTCCTCCTTGGCAGGCGCACAGCTTCTGTCCTCGCTGCCGGCCACCAGCACGAGGTCAGACACAGTAGGCTCGTATATGCTTTCTGCTCCAGTCATGAAGGGATATCAAAGTTTGTGTGAGGGTGGTCTTGAATTCTAGATTCCAGCCAGCCACATTCTTCCTAGTAGCTAAGCTAAGGAAGCCCTGGGAAACGAGAGCTATAGAACTGATAAAGTTTCCCTTTTTGCTTTGACTGCCAGGAAGCTCAGAGGCAAAATTACCTCTGATTCAACTAAACAACTAGAGCTCAAAGATGGCAACTGCTTTCGTGTCTCATGCCAACTGGACTGACGGACAGTACTGAACTGGGAAGGATTCTGAGGTTGCAGTGAGTAACATCAGCTTGGAGTATGGCCAGGGTGCCTCTGGGCTAAGGAAATGAGGGGGGTGATCGACTGGTGATGTCTGCTGCAAGTACAGTGGTGGAGAACACGGGATGTGCACAAAAGGTTGGGCAACTCGGCTGGCCTTATTTCACCCGTGTCTACACTTCCTCACAAACTTATATTTTCCCTGGTATGTTTCATGTTTTATTACTTGTACTTGCCTGTGGAATGAGGCAGGTTATAAATAAAATAAGCTGGGAGGCTTCACTCCGAGCCCTCAGTCCTCTGTGTAGGCTGAGAGCTCGGGGGAGAGCTTCTGACTGCAGCAGAGAATAGGCTCCGTGGAGCTTAAGGGTTCTTTGGCTCCCGGGGCTGTCCCCCGTGCCCTCCACAGGCCAGAGAGTCAGCCACAGAAAGTCTCTTGCCAGAAATTAATTAGGTTCAGATCAACAGTTGCACTGTCCCTAACGTGTGCCCCCTTACCGCCTCGCTGAAGATAAGGCTGTCTGGCCTGCCCCCCGCCATCTTTCTTGGGGGAGCATCTGTACCTACATCTTATCAGGACCTGAGAATCTAAAAGCAACATGATTCAGGAATCACTTGGAGGGCTGCTAAAAAGGCAGATTCTTTGTCCGCAACCCAGATCTGCTGTATCAGAATCCCCGAGGCCTGGAATCTGCATTTTCACCAGCGCTCCCACTGGAGTGAGAGACCCACCAGGCTGGAGAAGCCACAGAATAACTTTGGGCTCCGCCAGGCTCCTAGGCTGGGGCAGCAGCGCCACCTGGTGGGCCCTGCGGAAACACCTCCCGACCATTGCCCTTCTGGCCCCACTTGAGGGTAGTCGGCCTCTTTCCAGTTGGTCTCCAGAGCCAGAAGCAGCATCTCTTAGACAGCAAGCTGGATTGTTACAAATCCTCTTTAATAGTTAGTTGTCAAATCTCAGACATGTTTTACAGAACTGTGCACAGAGCCCCTCCCTACTCCAAGGCACAGATTCACCCACCCATTCCCTAGGGGGCAAAGGACAGACCCACCTAGCTTCTCCCAGGGGAAAGCGTCCTTCCCCTTCCCTGGACAGCTCGGGATCCTGGCGAATGCAGGACCCCCTCTGTGTCGGGGCCCCCAGGGTTCACCCCCGATTCCCTAAGCAGCCCAGAGCCAGTCCAGATTCCCTGGCCCAGAGGGCCCCTCTTCAGCCCGGCTTATGGCATCATCCTCGGTTGATCTGAGCTGGCCTGGGGAAGGCTGCTGCTCCTAATAATGTCAGGTAAAGCCCACCCTCTCCCACTACCTTCAGTGAAAATGTGAAAACCAAAGACATAAGCATTACAGTGGAAAAAAATGTTTACCCACGCAGTGGGCAGTCCCCTGACAGCCCAGGGTGCCTTATCCACCCCCCCCCACCCCCAATGTTGAGTACACTTTTCTCCGCCCCATATACACAGCTCCAAGGCAGGCCGAGACCCAGCCCACCTGCTCAGGGACGCCGTGGGAGCGTTCTCTCTGCGTGGCTAAGAGAATCCCGGCGGGCGATAGCGAAGGAGCCACAGAAGAGCTGGGGCAGAAATGTAGGGAGAGGGGTCCAGGCCGCAGAAAGCTCCCCTGCCCCCCGCCTCCAGCCAGCACAGGACGGGCATGGGGGAGTAAGGTGGGAGGTGAGCCTGGAGCAGAGCCTGGAGACCCTAAGGAGCCCTGAGGCGAGGGGACAGGCAGGGAGGTGGGGGACAGCAGCCGCCTCAGTACTTGGGGACCTTGCTGTAGTCTTCAGAATGGATGTGCCGGCACAAGCAGATGGACAGGAGCATCCCCAGGAGCTGTCGGGGCAGAGGGCAAGAGTCAGAGGGAGGCACGGCCGCCCGGTTCCCCCCGAGGCCCCAGGGCAGCATCTCACTGTCCAGGTCAGCGAGGGTCACAGGGATTGAGCGGGATGAAGCAGATCCCCAACTAAAGCCTCGTCGTGACCAGCCTGTGGCTCCAGTGGCAGAGGGGCCCAGGGAGGGACAGTGGTCAGGCCGGGCCTCAGCCTCCCTGAGGCCATCAGTGGGGCGGGGAAGATCCTGGATGGCAGGGCTGGGGGCGGGGCGGGGGGAAAGCGCTGCTGGAGGGGAAGGGGTTCAGACCTCGATGACAGCGACGCCCACACACACGCCTAGGATGATGCCCACGTTCTCCTGCAGCCAGTCCTGCACCTTCTTCATGCAGCCCTACAAGGGGAGATCGCGGTCACGCCACCCCATGCCATGCTGCCTCACCCCACCATGCAGAATCACCGGGAGGGCCCCCCGCCCCGCCCCAGCCCAGAGGGCCTGCAGAGCGGCGTCTGTGTGTTCCCTGACTGCATAAATTAACGAATATGTTCATGCAGGTACAAATGACAAGCAAACAGATGAGTCAAAGGCAGGAACAGCTAAGTGAAGGAAGGGAGTGGAGCGGAAAGGAGGGAGGGAGGGTGAAGGAGGGAAAGAAAAAAGGGAGGGAGGAAGGAAGGGAGGAGGGAGGGAGGAAGGAGGGAGGAAGGAGGGAAGGCAGGAAGCAAGGAAAGAAGGAAGGAAGGAAGGAAGGAAAGAGGGAAGGAAGGAAGGAAGGAAAGAAGGAAAGAGGGAAGGAAGGAAGGAAGGAAAGAGGGAAGGAAGGAAGGAAAGAGAGAAGGAAGGAAGGAAGGAAAGAGGGAAGGAAGGAAGGAAGGAAGGAAGG